ACTTTGAAGAATGGTACAGAAGAGATGTACGATCTGGAAAAGAAGATAAACGAAGCTGTGTTTCCAGGGTTACAGGGTGGACCACATAACCATCAAATAGCTTGTAAGTTCTCAGTAGTGGTTATCTCCATCACACGTCTTATTTGCTATGTTAAGGGCAGTGACTCGTCATGTCCAGACTGGTCAAAGTTGACATTGAGTTGATGTTATTCATTAGTATCTACAATCTAATTTCGGACCAGTTAAGCAAACTGAGGAGCAGTAACTCGATTGTAATGACCATTAATTCTATATAGTAAATTGATTTGTTTTCCAGCCGTTGCAGTAGCCTTAAAACAAGCATCATTACCAGAATTTATAGAATATCAGAAGCAGACTATGGCCAATGCTAAAGCCATGTCTAAAGCCTTAATTGATAGAGGCTACACTGTTGTGACAGGTAATTAATTACGAAATTTCCCTCATTGCACACTTCACTTTGCTAACCTGAAGGTCTTGGGTTCACTTCCAACATGGGTCAAGATGATACATTCGAATTTTTCAGCCACGGATTTCCCTGTCAGTGATATAGGTGGGAGGGGCTGACATGGAAAAAAGGTCTTCTTTGGGACAATAAACAGAGGGCCCTGTGTGCTACAGAATGTACATGTTGAAATTCCCTCAACAGTTGAAAATAGAAAAAGAATAGATTATTGCATTTGTCCTGGGAAAGTGTCCCTCCTTGTACACTGCCTTGTTCGTCTCAATTAGCCCAATCAGGCGCAGAAAAGTAGGACGTAAAACTCCATTCATTTCATTTCATTGCACATTAAAAACTAATGTAATTTGCGTATAATATCGAAGTGCTTTCAATGCTCCATATAAACATAAATGTAGAAATTTAGCAATACAGGACATATTATATCCTTGTAAAATTAAAGACTGTTTTTCCTTTGTTTACTCTATCAAACATCTATTTTATAGGAGGAACTGATACTCACCTGGTCTTAGTTGATATGAGACCCCAGAAATTAGATGGCGCCAGATCAGAGAAAGTATTAGAAGAAGTTGGAATTGCCTGCAACAAGAACACCTGCCCGGGGGATAAGAGTGCCTTGAAACCCAGTGGATTGAGATTGGGAACCCCAGCTTTAACTTCTAGAGATATGAAAGAGAAAGATATCGTTCAAGTAGTTGAATTTTTCCATCAAGGTTGGTTTTTGATAAATATCTAGTGGATTTATGCATTTTGATTTAGGCTCCATTATTTTTTTTCGGTCTCCATTGTAATCTAAGGAAATTTGTACCAAGGTATACTGGCGACATTTCAAGCTATTAACAGCAGGCAATAACGTGCTACTTTCCTGCCTATCCGAATCACTTTTACAAGTGAGTATCAGCAAATTAAGAATTGAGATTAAGCGTCTTGTGATGCCACTATCACAAAAGCTGCTAAT